GGGGGGCGGGGTTGACATCAAGCACAAATTAATTCAGCAAGACAATTATTCCCCTTTTGCTGTCACATGCCAGTTTAACTGCAAACACCAGTGGTTGGTAAAACCTCCAGTTGCTCTACCAATGAAAACATCCTGTGAGCGTGTGATTGAAAAGTCGTAGCCTATACATGCTCGACTGTGAATGGGTCAGGTGCAATGGGAGGGTGGGCAGCTACCTGCAGGAAGCTCTCAGCATACTGCAGCAGGTAGAGTCCGCAGTCACTGCTGTTGTCCTGCAGGGGGACCCTGCAGTGAGACCCGAGCACCCGCTCTGCAGTGAACCCGTGAGCAGTCCCCCGCCGCACTTCCCACTCTACCTCCAGGTACCTGGGGGAGGCAGACACTTCAGGACTGACAGAGGACATGCTGTTCCTCTGAGATACAGCAAATACTTTCAGCAGAATCAGTTCCAGAAAGCGGCCCTTCTGTTGTACCTTCGAACATAGTGCGCAGCCTAAAAGATTTCAGTAAGATAACCATCAAACCACAAGTATAATTACATTAAAAAAAACTGCAAACATACATCTGGATATTAAGGAAAATACTAAAACGGCAACACCATATGACACTCCACATGACACTTCTGGGAGTTTTACTTGCACAAAAATCATTGTTCCTTCAGCCCTCAGAATATTTTTGTGTGAGTAAAACTCCCATGAGCCAAAAAGATGTGCTCACTCTCGTAAGAGTGTGAAGATCTGCTCGTGCCGGGACAGCTTCAGGGAGTCCATGATCAGGATGCAGGGCCTGAGGAGAGGCAGAGGAGCAGGCATGGTCTCTAGTACACCAATCACAGTCAATATCACAAGGCAAATTCAAGGATTTCCTTTAACTACGTGCATCCGCCACAGAAAAGAACACAAACGTCATGACAGCAAGAAGGGGAGATGCCTGTCTCATCATACAGGAAGCTTGATTAACATGGAACTGCGTATGTAGTAAAGTATTAGATGCATTATAGTTAATGTGGCCTTGTCTTGCCTTACCTCTTGCAGACGGTTTTCCTCTGACATCCCAGTTGCGTACATTCCTACAAGGAAGCCAGAATACAAAAAAAAGTGACCTTCAGAATGTACCCATAATGTAAAGCAGTGCTCAGTTTCACCTTTCAGCATATACAGGGCAGGAAATGATGGGGTACTTAATTACCGGCAGACTGCTGGGTGTCGCCCGTGCCACGTGCGGACCTGCCTCCGGACCACCTGCAGGGGGAGACAAATCCCCCAAATCAGCACAGCAATTTAATTCATCAAAACTTGGCCAGAGAGAGAATTAACAGGGAACCATTCGTATCAGGGGGACACTGAACAGAACATGCCAAACATTGGCCTTCTAGAGAGCCGTGTGCAGTGTACTAGGTCTCAGCCAAAGTGGACGGCACATGAACTCAGTGGAAGCGCTGAACTCAGGAGAAACGTCTGTCTCAGACAGACTCCCAGAAACGGCAGCTGGGCAGAGCTTTAACCCCCAGCACAGAGCACTCAGCCGTCGCATCCTGGGAACAAGTTATAAGTGCAGTAAAGGTTTTATTTCCCTCTCTAAACTCGGCACCCCCCCCCCTATCCATCACCGGCTAAACCGCTATAGCCGACCATCTCCTTACACATTACATGGCAGGCAGGTTTTAATCAACGGCACACATGCTATCCCTGGTAGGCATAACTCAGTAGTCAAAAGTCCCCCCCAAATCAAAAACGCACGTAGCACACGCACAAAGCAGAGACGTACAGTATGTAATATCAGGGGGGGGGGGCTGGGTTTTTAGGTGAAAAGTGACCTTTACACGTCTCTCCCCCCCGTCTGACGTCAGCAGAGTTGGACTCCGCGGTCTCCTTTCCGTCATCGGTGGCCGGGCCCCCAGCCTGGAAGCGCCTGTTCTTCTCCACACCGCTGTTCCCATGGGCAGATTGGATTCCCCAATCCTCACGCACGGGGGATTCCAGCCAGGGGAAGCAGATCACCACCAGATACCAGTGAGCCCTAGCGATCACACAGAGAATGACGGCGATTCAACAGCTATACTGTCCCTCCATAGACAGAATGCCAACACATTGAGGAGCCGATAGGTACTGCATGAAACTTCATGAATAACTATTAAATATTACAAACAGTTAAACAACCTAAATAAGACGCTTAACATTAGCTTCTAATAAATAAAAAAAAATCAAAAACCCCATTAGATTGACAAACTAAAAAACATCCCTAAAGCTGGTATCTGTCAGGGAGTTAATAGAATGACACTGAAAGTGTCCTGCAGGTAAAACATGCAGGTAGATCTTCAGCTGTGTAAGGATCGCAGTCCACCAGGCAGACAGATGAAGATCCAACGACAGGGTTTATTCGGGGAGACAGGGCAGACAGCAACTAACTCACATTAATGACGGATCTGGGGAAACTACCTCAGACGCAGACTAAAATACGCAGGACAAGCCGAAAACAACAGGCAACAGGCGATCACAACCGGGAATGAACACGAGGTAACGAGGGGGGCGTGGCACGCAGGAGGAGCAAACGAGCAGGTCATGACAAGCTGTAAGTAAAAACATTTTTGTCCATTTGTTATGCCACTTATTTAAATAAATAAATAAATAACACACACACTCACTCTTGATTGACAGGCAAAAACAGGAAGTCCTTATTAAAAATGTCCACATTACGGGTCCAGGTTCTAACCCTGTGGTGTCGTCTGCGCTTAGGCCTGAGAGAGGAGAATAAACATCAGAAAACCATCAGGGACTCCCCCCCCCCCACCCCATCGCCTCATAAACAATGGTATGACCCACGCCCCAAACTGGGATCTTTCTTACGAGACACCGGCCTGCTCCTCCCCAGCACCGCCTCGCCGTGTGAGCTGCTTGTAGAAGAAGCTGCTGAAGATGTGTGATCGCTCAGCCATCCCCTTGGGAACCTTCTCCTGCATCAGGAACCTGAGGAGCAAAGCCGGCTGGGACCACTTACTGCTGGATGAGGCTTGGGCAGTAAACCGTAACTGCCGTAACTTTGCTTTACGGCCCAACGCTCCGCTTCCAACATGCTTCACACAACATAGCTCAGGACAAACGGCACTAACTTCAGGTAGAAATCAATGACAACGTCATTCAGGAACTCGCCGCTGTTCAAACAGTCCAGGTCTTCCATCCTTACTGTGATTCCCCCTTTGGACGGAGGCGGGGGATATTGAATCAACCTATAGGGAGAAATTAATATTCATGTCAATGGCCAACAGCGAATCAGCACAAAGACAGGACGGACTCTCCATCAGGGCGCCCTACCTGCGCGATGGGCTGAGTTCTTGGCTCGCGGAAATGCCCGCTCGCCTTAGACTGCGCCGGGTCAGACCCCCAAGCTGAGGACACTGGGGGAAACAGAACAGCCAATAAGAAACCGGGGCCAGCAGGAGGTTGAAGGCATCAATTCAAGAGGGTCACTAACCCACGAAGTTAACTCAACCTGGTCCTGTTTGTCTAAGGCAGGGGAGGACTTGCTTTCCAGGAGAGGGAGCAGCGTTTTGGACCAGGAAGAGCTCTGCACCAGGGCGACGGCCCGATCCCGGGAGAGAGCGAGCCTCACAGTCAGCCTCGCACAACGCTGGCCCATCACGTCCAACAGAGAGGCCAACAGAGCCCCCTGCAGGCCATCAGCAGACTCCTTCAGCGTGAGGAGCAAAAATGGACAGGCTTGCTCTGCAGAAAAACAACACCGAGAAACATCTTTGTGAGAAAATCACGCATTTCCTTTTTGACATCCATATAGTCCTTCATGAAACACATCACTATGAACCCGAAGTGCTTAGAAACCTCTCTTCCCAAAAGCATTAGCAGACTAAGTGATACGTGATTTTACACGACAGCAGGGGCAGCCAACCCTAATCAGAGCCCAAAGCAATATTTGATTTACTTAGTTGTCATCTGGCTCCCTCCTTCCCGTTCTGACAGGTACACCAGATACGGGGCCCCCTGGTGGCCACTGGGCCCTAAGCAGCCGCTTAGTTCGCTTCCGCCCTGGTGACGGATTCGAGGGCATGCCCTGGTACAGCGGACAGACCCACATTATACTCAACTGAATGTTCAGCTCATTATTCAGCCAATGATTTTTTCCACTTCAGTTAATTCGCATCAATATGTAAACAAAACAGCATTTGGGAACCATATTGCAAAATTCCTCACGCCAAGCAAACACATACATACACTACAGTCCTGCTCGAAGGAAACCTGTCAAATCCAAGACCTTCTGAATAATGGTATTTGGTAGCGATATCCAGTTAAAGCTATCATCAAATTCATTAGAAACTTGGCTAATGAAACTCACAGCCACACTGTATGTGACAGACACTTTAAAAACAGAGCTTCTGACTTGGTGGAAACATGGTTACCCACATCTCACCATGATGTGCTGCACCAGAAATATCAAAGTGGCAAACGAGGCAGGTCATGGAGGTCTCGAAGGTCACGAAGGTCAGACACTGTGTGCTCACCTGGCCGCACAAGGGGCCTCACCGCCGTCAGCTCCCGCTGGACAAGCCTCGCCTGCGCTTCGGACACCCACAGGAAGAGGAGGAGGGCACTGGGCTGCCCGGCCCATGCACCATACCCACGTAGCTCCGAGGGCACGAGGGCCAGCGATGCCACTGCCTCACTCGAGGGATCTATGTACACGAGCAGAGAAGGGGCAGGGTTACGTAGGGCAGGGTAATCATCGAATTTTAATTCCAATTACGATTTCATCTTCCAGCGATTATCAAAACAAAACAATCAAGATAAAACGAATACTGTGCTACATTTTATTTCACAATGATGCTCCTGTTTTATCCCGTGTTATAAATTAAAGCTGAATTAAATTTTGAGTTTTAAAAAGTTTTTTTTAAGTTCAATAAATATATGATATTTCCAGTTAATGACTAATCGTGTTAAATAATCGTGATTACTGCCGAACAATGTTGACCAAAATAATGGTGATTATGATTTTCGCCAAAATGGCGCCGCCCTACAGTTACACCCTACAGGCTCAGAGACAAACATCCAGAAGACGCCAATGGCTGGTTAGCAGTGAAACGAAGACAACAAGCAGCCCCTTGATTGATGGATTCGCCACGTTACACTGTATTATTCTCAAGCCAATAACAGTGCTGTGTTCTTCAAATAAACAGTTCGGCGCTGATGCTGGGAGCCGCTCAGGCAAAAGTAGCACTGAGTGAGTTTACACTGAAGTGAAGCACTTTGGCAGAAAAGTGTAAACACGCCGTCAAAGGCACATCGCTCACTGGGATGACCTCGGCACTGCCGCACGTCGTCCAGTACAGCCCTGGGGTAACTGCCATAGCCTGGGGACTGACTGCTGCATGTCCTCATTTATAGGCACAATAGCAGATACTCACTGCCACTGCATCAGAACAACAAAAACTAAAGATTACCTTTCACAGTTACAATTAGGCAGTCCGCTGTGACCTGTAGGGAGGGAAAAAAAGGGCACAGAATTACTAGGTACATGAAAGCCGTAGGAAGGACGGACACTGCCCCAAGGAGCCTGCGAGAGACTGCCATTAAGGGCAGTCACATGACAAATTGGAGAGCCAATCAGAACGACCCCAACAGCCACGGCCCAGCCTGACCAGAGCGAGTCTGCAGCAGGACCAAACAGACCCCTTAGACTCACGCAGGGCCGAATGAAGCTTGATTCACGCTGCTTTACCTAATTAATAAACTTGGCTTCATTTTTCACAACCTTGTTATATCGACACCATAGTATGCCTTAATTGCTCATTAAAGCAAAACCAACCAGCCTGTGCTTTACTTTTAACGGGTTTTCATTCTTTGAAGCGTAAAACTCGAAATGAAATACTGTAGCGAGCAGAGGGCTGCTTGAGACTGCCCTGCGACGTGTCGAAATAATCAGTACAACATGGGCGACACAGGCCTCGTTTACACATACTCGGGATGTTTCCAATTAACCGCAAGAAAACAGTTGCGCTAAACATTGGGTCGCCCCTTCTAACTTCGTGCCACGATTTGCACCCATCACATCTGAAACGCCATGAGAAGGACCCGGGCGTCGATGCTATCGTCCAGCAGGCCTGGCATCTGGAGGACGGTGGGCAAACTGCACGCACCACAAAGCCAGTATCTCCAGGGTAGGAAACGGCAGCTTCTGCCCCATTTCTCCACTACGGGAAAACGGAAATACTCATACGTTCCTGACACTTTCGGGATTTGTTGGAGAGTCGCCCGGCACAACTTCTTCCACGGGGCAAAGGCAGCCTCACCATGATGTTTCCATTAGCTTCAACCACTGCTCCCCCTGCATGCAGAGTCAAGAACTGCAGCTCCACCAGTGAGGACTCCTCACTGTAGTTTTCGCTGCTTCCTGTCGGCCCTCCTGCTCTCAGACCTGAAGCCGATGTCCTGGACTCAGCCTACAAGGGGAAAAATGTGCAATTCAGACCCTTATGCTTGACTGTAGACTACAGATAGCACCACACTCAAGGTTAACGGGCTGTTCCAAGTCGGGCCTTGAGGAGGGGGGTTCAGGAGGAGGTCCCACCTCCTCAGGAGCAGCACAGCCCTGCCCCCTGCTTCTCACATAACCTCAATGCACCCAAGTACTTGCCTTTCACACATCCCAGCATTTTAGACAATCCACCAATTCATCGAGCTGAAGCTTCACCTACATCGAATTCAATTCAGCCGTCCAGCCCCACATTATGCAAGGAAGAACTCCTGTGGAATCCTGGACACGAAAACCACATTCGTGCATGTTCTTGGTTTTTAATGAGGACTAGCTTTCTAGCTTAAAGGTCCAAAGATGGCACAAAAAGTAAAAAGAACAGAACTTCCAAACCCGCCCTTTAATGCACACAAAAAAACGGCCCTTTAATGCACACAAAGCCATCCGCTCTGCACTCCAGCCAAGGCGATGCTGAGACACCAGGTACTACCAACACAGATAAGCACAGTGAGTAACCAAAAGCGAAGTAGACGTCACACATCACAAAGGCGATGCAACTCAACCCTCAGGCCCCACGAGAACATCATGCTATACATGGTGAAATATTTCACCGAACACATTAAACATTCGTGACCACAGATTACATTTTAACCATTTAAAATGGCCAGTAAATAAGCATTTCTTATAAAACATTAGAAACATCTGTGCAGAAACATTCATGAAGCATTTCAGTCCAAGTTTCAGGACCTGAAGTTACATTGTATAACTGGTCCCAGAGCAGTACCTCCTGCCGCTTGTCCCTCTTCTCTGTCTGTGCCCCCGCGCCCTTCTCAGCAGCGAGCTCATCCTTGGATGCTGCCGCGCTCCGACTCCGCGAGATCCCATGCCGCTGACTCCGCCCATCTTTCTCCACCTCCTCCTCATCGCTGGACAGCACAACTGAGAGAGACACATGTCGCTCAGGACCGGCGCGTCTTACGCAGCCGCATGAAAGCGTATGTGGGGGACACCAACCAAAAATTTTTTTAAATTTAAAAGTCACACATTCACCTTCACGCCTACTAGAGTATAAACTGACACCAGATGAAGAGCTTGTTTCATATGTCAGAACTTTATTTTCAATGGATTTGGTGGATCATACGCACCGTAGTTAATCTGCCAGCGAATGACTATCCCAATATACTCTGATCTTTATTCTACTAGAGCAGCAAAGCTTCATGGGAAATAGCAGGTTTATACCATGATGCTGCCTGTTTAGCACTGACATCTTGGTACAGGCAAGCTTCTCCATAAAGGTATATGCTGCTGGAAAGAAGATCGTTAAACGCACAGACACACAGACAGCAGAAGAGCAGATCATCTGCAGAGCACAAAACAATTTGACTCCCCATGACTTCAAATACAATATAATAGCAGAATAACAGAAATGTGTCCTGGAGGTTTTCAGATTGTGTTTTTCCCAAAGGACAGCAGGCCAGCTCGCTGTATGAAACATCACCCAGTGACAAACAAATATATCAGTTCTGGGTAGATTTCCCCTTCTAATGACTCCCAGAGCCCCCACCCTGGCAAGCGAACATTCGGGTTTTTACAGATACTGCATCATTTATACTCAGAGGCTCGTCCTGCAGCCACTATGACCCCTATGGGGGAGCGTGACATTGCTCTGGTGACTTAATGGACTTTGAAGGAGAGTCAAGAACGATTATGATTCCTGTAAGGCTCCAAAACACTAGACTCCAGACCACAGGGCTACTGATTTTACAGGCCCTGCTGGTACAGAACACCAGTATTTGGAGGGAAAGGAACAGCCACCAGCCATAAACCACGGCAGAAAACAGTCTTACTGTTAGGAGAGTAAAGAGCAGTGGATTTTGAAGGGGCCGTTTCAAAACACCATTCGTTTTAAATGCAATTTCAGCATCTACACAAGAGCTGAAGGCATGAGATAAAAAAATAAATCAAAATGTTGCATCACTTCATCAAGATTTAGCATTTACTCATCTGCCACTCAGCTGATGGCCCAGGTACACCCAGCACCAGGCACACCCAGCACCAGGCACCAGGCACACCCAGCACCAGGCACACCCAGCACCAGGCACAGTGCCCATGATGGGCTTTAAGGGATCTGGACCTGTTTTCAAAGCCCCTTCCCTTCAACAGCTCAAATCCAGAGATACTGCCGGTGGTCCAGCCACACTAGCATGGCCAGAGTGTGTAAGATGCCCACATAACAACTGCTTGGGTGCCTTTTGGGGGAGAGCAGAGTTGGTGAACAACCAGAACCACTTCCCAAGTCAAAATGAAGATACCTGCCACCCGTTGCAATACACACCCTACCCACCGACAGCAGCACTGAGTACAAAAAGCAGTGCCACCCCTGATACTTCTCCAGGCAAAACCCACCTAAGGCAACATGCTCATTTATTTTCTTAATCAATAATACAACTCGTCAAGCAGAAATGATGGGGTGCTTCCGGAATTATTATCTGTTTGTGGAGGACAGCAGCATGAACCAAAATGCCCTGGGAGAGAGAGCCGGCAGGCCGGGCCCCCGGGAGAGAGGGCCGGCAGGCCGGGCCCCCGGGAGAGAGGGCCGGCAGGCCCGGGCCCCCGGTAGAGAGAGCCGGCAGGCCGGGCCCCCGGGAGAGAGCGCCGGCATACTGAGCCCAAACACTCTGCCAGATGACACTTACTTGGCTCAGTGGGCCTCAGTGAAGGTTTTCTAGGCCGGATGGGAGGGACCACCTTCTCCACCTGGAGTCTATGTCTCTGGGAGGCACCGCTGACACGCTTCGGGTCCTTTCGCAGCAGCAAGGCCACTTCACTGCCTGCCACCGAGCCTGCAGGTGCTGCCAGGGAAACCCGCTTATCCACAGACTCTTTGCCCCTCGTCCGGCTGGGGTGGTGTGGGGCACTTGACCTGGGCAGCCCAGTGGGGTTCGAAGACTCCACTGTGACCCCTGTGTCCTCTACTTTCATCTTGGGCCCCAAAATAGCCCTTCTGTCTCTCTCTTCCTGCACGCGCACACACACACACACACACACACACAAACCCAGGGTGAGCACCAGATCTACAGAGGCATCTGTCCACCACTTTGCTTTGTGCAGATTTAGCTAAACCACTCACACAAACCTATCCTTCATATTTACACAAATTAATAGCAGATCAGACATAACAGGCATAAATTCATCTAGAAATCTACTCTATGTCTAAAACTGGAAGAAAGGAAGGGTTCACGTCTTCACTGAATGGCTGAAAGTTCCTACACCAACAACCCAGATCGCAGGCTCTACCTCCTTGATTCCATCAGAAGGAAAGGATCTCTTCAATTCTCCAGGCGAGGAGCCACTGTATTCTAATATCATCTTCTCCCCCACTTCTCGTTCTTGTTCCAGCTGGAGAGAACCTGGAGGAATGAAGGAGTAACAAGTGAAAAGAACAGTTAGCAGGTTGCAGGCATTTCTCCAAGATGGACGCCCAAAGGTTGCTGGTTCATGTACCCTTGAGTAGTGTTTACAAAAAGAAAGAAAGAAAGAAAAGAAAAACAAACAGTCCCAACCAGGAGTACAGAGTAAACAGCCCAGGCACTGCAGCACAGGTGGTACGTGGGTAGTGAGCTCAGCCAAGCCAGGGCACAGATCCCCAGATGGAGAAATGTGGCAGGAAGTACACAGACAGAGAGAACATCTGGGCTTTAAACAGGTCCAGAAAGTTAGGGATTGTTTATTTACTTGAGAGCCTCAGAACATACAGAGCACATTACGACATGCATTCACCATCTGATAAACGAAGCAACAACCTACAGCACCAGTGAGAAACACAGCAGGGGAAACTCAGAACAACCCCAGCGAGGACGGTATTTGTTTTAGAAGTTGTCACTTAATATCGCTCTGCAAGGTTACGGCTTTCAATCCAGATCACATCTCACTGTTAGATCAGAATGTTCTTGAGACGCCGGATCCCAATAATCCTGACTGGATAAACTTAGTGAAAACACATGGATGGACAGTTTAATGGACTCCATGCTGACAACTCTGCCCCTTTTCAATTTCTCACCCCTTGATGCTACAAAAAATAAAGAACAGAGCACATTGTTACACTGCACCACCTCCCCAATAATTGAGCATGAAGACCTCTGACCCGGGTCGACGCTACGCAGGAAATTATTCACTCTCACCTCTCAGTCCCACATTGCTTCTTCTCCCCTCGGGCGAGGAGGAAGCCCCCTGCAGGTTCTCATCCTGGCACAACGTGTCTGATGCCCTTTTGGGCCGGAACCTGGAACGCAAACTCTGAGCGATGAGCACAAATGCCCAGCAGGGCCAAGACGCAGCAGCCATGCGTGACCGCTGGATTCTACCTTTTCAGCGGAGAAGACTGAGGACGAGGAGGGAGAGGCCGGCGTGCCGACGTCTGCACCCAGGTGTCTGAACAGGGTTGGGGTGCCGTCCGCTTGTGCCGGGTAACAGGATCACTCTGCAAGCTGCTCACATGTAACCGTACAGCCTCGCTATGCATTTCCTGTGGGGGGGCCACCTTCAGGACACCCAGAAGTGCTACCCTGTATACAGAAGACAGGCACACAGGCTAAACATCATGGGAAGGTTGGGCAGCTTCATTTCAACCACCTGGTCCTCTATGCAGTAATGTGCCCTAATGCAGTATTTTGATTCTTTTTAACCCCTGCCCATTGCACTGAAACATTTTCTGATCTGTGTGCACCACCTGGTGGACACTAAAGAAATGCACCAAAAAACACACTGGACCCAACAGGTGCAGAACAAGACTAAAGGACAATATGGAAGAATCACAGACCAAAATAGCCGAACACATCTGATAAACAGACACAGGGAGGGCGGAAGCAGAAAAACTCTAAAGTGCATGTTTCTGTAAATTTGAAAAGGTTCAGTAGCATCACCTTGGGGTTATGGTGGGAACAGGAAAAGACTCTGAATGATTACGGAGTGTGTGGAGAGGGCTGAAAAATATGCTTAACAGAAAAACTGCCACACGCATTACTTCCCGAGTGTCCACAGGCCGAATAAAGCACTCCACCTACAGAGAAGTCCAACACCAAGGCGTTACAACACTTGCCTGTCCATTCTGCTGGCGTTAGACATCTGGCTGACGTCTGAGGATCTGGTACCATCCAGCTGACCCAGTCCTCTCGACCTCCTGCGACCCTGAGACAACCGGCCCCATTGTACCTGCTAAGCGCATCAGATAGGAGATCTAAAATTAGACTTTACTGAAATTTTTAAAAATCCGTCTGAATGAAAACAAGAGAATCTTGTATTTCGGAGCACGGGTAAGGCTCGTGCGGGATCACCTTGAGGCTGCTGGACTCCGGGAGGCGGGAAAGTGGAGACTCCATCTCTACGCCAGCGCCACTGGCAGGAAACCTCCTCTTAGGAATTCTGAAAGTGTTCCCTAGCTTAACATACATGAGACACAGCATCAACACCAAACACCCTGTTTCCAACCAAACAGCAGTTAGTGACATAGGTGAATGATGGCTATTATTTCATCTAATGACGATAAGATCAATCATACTGTAATTATCGTACAGTCCAGCCTGTTAACAAAAGTCAGAAATATACCTACACTGGGAACAGCCAACCTATCTGAAGAAGTCTTCCCCTGGTCCATCACAAGAGCAGTCATGGCAAATTCAGCTCCTTACCCACACTGCACCTGCTATAACCGAAGACAAGCAGTAGCTAAACGTCCCACTCACAGACAGTGTTTGCTGTACAGCGCTGCCTTGTGGACGCTGGGAAAAATCCTAAAATGCTCTGGGGTCCCATAAGTCACAGATCATGGAAGTCAATGATTTCAATGGATACGTACACATTTAAAAGCTTCAGCAATATATTCTGTAATTTATACCCTGTAATTTAAACCGTAATAATGCTAATTTCCAGCTCGACGGGAGTTGAGTTTTTGTCCTCTCCTACCATAACTTATCGCAAAGCAAGGCGATTCTTTTTCCTTTTTCGCCACGAACACGTAACGCCCTTTCATAACCGTAGCTGTATTAGGATCAGCTCATTTTCAAGTCCAGTATTGGCGCAATCGGGTGAACTGGTTATGAAATACAGCAATTAGGCCTATATTAAATACAAGATGGTCTTGATAGAAAAGTTTGGAAACAGGACATCGCTTTTGAGTTACTAATTTAGCTTTTATATATCAGCGAAGGAAGAAAAAAAACTGTTAGCATGCCAGTTTCTACCGTGTGCCCGGATAATTAAAAACGGGTAACGAAAATAAAACGGTAACAATACTAACATTATTTAAACGTCTTGTCGTACAATACTAATGAACCTAGGCTAAATATGTTGGAATGGTGACAAGCTTTGAACGAACGTTAAATTCATGTTGTTTTAATTTTGGTGGCGGTTTGTTAGCCATCTGTCCAACTACATTACTACAAAATCCGACTCCGATTATCTTGTATCAAGAGAAGGCTATGACAAGTCTATTTAACAATTATACCTACCAAACGTCGAAGGTGGGCTAAGAAACATGTATATAAATTAAAGGTAAAACTATCTGCACATCCCACACACTCGTATAAAGATACAAAGCAATGCCATACATTACAGTCCGTAGATACAAGAAACAACAAAATCTGTTTATTGCGGAAGTACATTCTTCTTTGTATATGCCGGTAGAACCGTCACAGGGCTGGACCTATGGATTTGGCTCCATCTAGTGGCCTGGAGTGCACCGCACAGGTAAAAACGCAAGCTGAGAGGTCGCAGACGGAGCCGTCGGTAGCCGTAACTTAACATATAGTCTACGAAATAAACGGTAAAATCTACCTATAATCTACGAAATAAACGGTAAAATTTGTCGACCTGGGTGCTGGGGTTTTGCCACGGTATGATCCTGTACCAGATCGGGTGCTCCGCAATAAGTTGTGTCAGACTGGTGAAAATAAAAAAATATGAAAATTTGTTTGTGTGGGTAATATCATGATGACGATTATAATGATGATGGTGATAATGATGATACTAATGATATGAATACGAATAGCGAAATAATATTTCCTGACGTACAATTCGGCTAACAGCAATGAGTGTTTTGTCCATTATTGTTTTATGTGGTCATTAAAGAATTGTAGTTCTGACCTTTAAAAAAGCCTGACCAACATAACGTTACTACATTGCGAGTTATCTCTTTTTTTAAATTCTCACTGTGAAAATTGAATGACCAAACCTCTAATTTAAATATGTCTAAACAGAATAAATACAATATGTGAAAGTTTTGAGACATCTACAGGAACCTTTATCACATCTCATTCTAAATCCATAGGTATCAATATGGAGTCAGTCCCCCCCCCCCCCTTTGCAGCTATAACAGCTGCCACTCTTCTGGGAAGACTTTCCATAAGATTTTGGACAGTCTGTGGGAATTTTTCCCAATTCATCCAGAAGAGCATTTGTGAGGTCAGGCACTGATGTTGGATGTGAAGGCCTGGCTCGCAATCTCCATTCTAGTTTATCTCAAAGGTGTTCAGTGGGGTTGAGGTCAGGGCTCTGTGTGGGCCAGTCAAGTTCTTCCACACCAAACCCACTTAACCATGTCTTCATGGACCTTGCTTTGTGCACTGATGCACAGTCATGCTGGAACAGAAAATGGCCTTCCCCAAACTGTTCCCACAAAGTTAGAAGCATAGAATTGTCCAGAATGTCTTGACATGCTGAAGCATTAAAGGTTCCCTTTCTTGGAACTACGGAACCTAGGCCAGTCTCTGTAAAACAGCCCCATACCCAGGGGCGGATTAAGGTGTACGGAGGCCCCTAGGCTACAGTAGTCTGTGGGCCCCCCAACCCAGCCCCGCTCCGCGCCAATGGGGGCCCCCTTGCAGGCTGGCACACGTGGGGCCCCTAGGCTTAAGCCATATCTAGCCTGTGCGTTAATCCGCCCCTGCCCATACCATTATCCATCTTCCACCAAATTTTACAATTGGCACAATGCAGTCAGGCAGGTAATGTTCTCCTGGCATCTGACAAACTCATCCATCAGACAAAAGAAGCACAATTCGTCACTCCACAGAACATTTCCACTGCTTCAGAGTGCAGTGGCGGCGTGCTTTACACCTCTCCATCTGAAGCTTGGTATTGCCCTTGGAGATGTGAGGCTTGCATGCAGCTGCTCAGCCATGGAAGCCCATTCCATGAAGCTCCTGGTGCACAGATTGTTATGCTGGGGTTAATGCCAGAGGAAGTTTGTTACTCTGCAGTTATCGAGTAAACAGAGCGCTGGTGACTTTTACTCACTATGCATCTCTGATACTTTATGTGGTCTCCCAGTTTGTGGCTGAGTTTGTTCCTAAGTGCTTCCACTTTGTAATAATACCACTTACAGTTGACCATGAAATATCTAGAGAAGAATTTTGACAAAGTGAGTTATTGCAAAGGTGGCATCCTATGACAGTACCAAGCTTGAATTCACTGAGCTCTTCAGAATGACCCATTCTTTCACATATGTTTGTAACCCTGACTGTACACCCCTGGCAATGGGTCTGAATGAAACACCTGAATTCAATTATTAAGAGGTGCGTCCCAATACTTTGGTACAACTTTGCTTAGGATTACCTAGCAAGTTTTTGCTCCTGCAGTTCATCAAATAGAGCATTGCGTCAACACCGCAAATCAAGGCCCTTCCCTTCACTGTAAATGGCTGTAGATAAAAACGTCAGATTATCTGATTGATGAATGTGTACATTTTTGATTCGCGGGTTACATCCGGGTTTACAGCATATGTAGGTGTTCAGCATTGCCATATTCTCCGATCGTAGATTATGCTGAGGTGAGTGGAGAGGCGCCCCTTGGTACTAACCCTGCAGATGCTTCTTTGAAATGAGGACAGAGGTGCCAGTGACGCGCAGAGCCAGTGTTGCGCGCAGGTTAATCTCGAGCCTTTCCGCATCGGCGGCGAGGAGGCGCGCTCACACAGAGGCGTTCAAAGGTTGGTGGAATATCTGTCTCTTACTTTCCGGGAACCTGCTGGTGCAGTAACCTTTTACCAGATATTACAAAAAACACCTACAATCATTACCATTTTACCCTCTCGACCGTAGTATTTGACAGAAGAATGGATGATTGACATTTCGGATTTAAGAAGACCAAAAGAGCTACGCAAGGACATAATAATAGGTAAGTCTAAGTAAATCTTTACTTATGTTTTATTTAGTAATTAGCGATCATGGTTGTTCTTTTGTTTATTGTAAAATTTAATGTCACTGAATGGGTCATAACTTTACTGTATTCATTATAGAAACACGGATTTCGTTCGTCCTTCTAAGTTTATAATGTTGTGTATAATGTGATAGGCAGAGTATCAAAACTGGATGATGTATATACTGTACAAACACAGTTCCGTAATTAAACCTCCGTTCGGGTTATCGATCGGCTTCTTCGTTGATACGAATTTTGGAAAGTGAGCTGGTACCTTATTTTACTAGTCATTAAATACTAACGTGAATTTTGTCTTTATATTTAAATGTAATTGCTATGTATGCAGGCTACCTGGCCGCGCAAATTAAAGACATTAAAGTTTTTCAGACATTATTGTTCCCTTGAGTTCATAACTAATCCTGTCTTCTGTAAAAACGAAACCTCTCCTGAGCCGCCCGTCCTGCCGATGGGTAAAATGTTCATCGCATCTACTCTTGCACTTGTCTTTGAGGGCTTTGCTGTGCATTTAATTGTCACTGCGGTACACCAGCGAGGAAACTGCAGACTTCTGGCTAAATGACCGGACTGACACTCGCACGTCTGGCTGTTTGATAATCGCTGTTTATTTGCAGAGTAGATTTTACCTATCAATCGAGAACAACCCGCGACCCAAAACCAAATAAGTGGCTGGATGGGTGAATTGGTGGATAAATCTGGGGATTCATCTGGGGATTTCCATTCAAAACACGGTAATCTGACTTTCTGATAACTTCGAAATTTCCTCCGGATCTTACCGAAAATTTCACTCGTTAAAACCTTCGTTGGGACAATAAAGGTAAGTAGAATTATTCTTCAAACTATGATAATTATATTTCTTAGTTAGTTTATTGTATTTAGGCGTATTTTGAGCAAAATTTATCAATCAGCAGTTCACTTTTTTGGATCTGCCGCGAAAGCCGGCCATGTTTTGTGGTGAACAGTGCAGCAAGAGCCGAAAATAGCATGCTTTTCAGCATGGAATTTACAGCTTTAAAATGATGTGAAGGCTTTTAAATGAGGTTATATGTGTTTATGAATATATATTCTTGTAATAAAATGGAGTAGATACCCATCGCTTGCTTTTGTAACACAGATGATTGATAATTTTGAATGGCTTGGAAAGGCTAGAAATACAATAGTTGCATATTGTCTTTTCAGTTACCTTTAACATGAAGAGAAAACGTAATCCTCCACAACCAGCACGGGCTGGCATAGCAAGGCA